AATATTTAATTTGCAGAAACTTTTACGTATCCATTTCTCCCCTCAATACTTTTCTCTCAAATATAACAGTATCATTTATTCAGGATCACAGCTGTAGACTTCCAATTGCATTGTTGTATTTCCTTCTCCCTAACTGTCAGCTTACTGCTTTTTTAAAGTACAGTAACCAAAAGTGCACATATTTCAACCTTAGCCTTCAGAACATCACGTAGGAGAAGAGGTTAACTTACGCATTTTGCACTGCTGTCAATGCATCTTTGCACAAGTTCTATTTCTGCTGTAGGTGGTACGACGCTGTTGATACACAAAGTTCACAATCTGGCAGAGCAGTCAGACATGCTTCATTGCAGGACTTCTGCCCAGACAGCCGTTCTGCACCCCTGCAGTAAATCATTCCTAACTGAGGTTGAAATTCACTCTTTGCTGGATGTCTACTAAAGGCCACCTTCTCAAAGGCTGGGTGTCCAATCTAGTCTAAACCAGGCTGTACAAAATGGCCCTGAATGTAGCGAAGAGTGACAATGCATCTCATCCCATGCTAACATAGATGTACATGGGCTGAACTGCCATCCAGAGAAGCACTCCTCACAATTTGGTAAGGTAAATTGGATAGCTTAAGTACTGGTTTACAGTGAAGATAAATCACAGCTGTCCAATCTTCAGACAGCTGTTCAAAGTAAAATACACCTAAAACGCACCATGTGCTTTCCTCATTGATCTGGACTCTGTTCCTTGTAAACCAGAAAAAAATCAGGAACAATTTTAGACTTTTATAACCCAATACACTTATGTCCCCTCCCAGCCTAACACCTTAGTTTATGTTTGATAAAATATTTCAGTCTCTTAACCAAAAGCACTGCACAGTGCTGGTTGCAGGACTGTGCCCTTCCAAAGAAACAACTCTTGTTGAAGCATCTCATTTTGAAGTGAAGCATTAATTAATTATGGAGAATACAGGATTAAAAATGGTTTGTTACATAGAAGATATTTCTCCTACTTTCTTAATAGACATTTGTTACACTGTCCTTCATGAGAATATTCTTACTAAAGAAAGATCAAAGTAAATGCTTGCTATAGGAACTTTATTCTTTGCAAATAACTAAATAAAGGGCCAAATTATGTTTTAGAAACAAGCACTAAGGCTAGTCTGAACAGAAATTATTTTTAGAACAAAATTAAGAACAAATACTCATACACATAAGACACACAGACCTCTGCTCTCATAATTTTGACACCAGTGATTTAATGATGCATAAAATTATTTTTAAAGCCAGATAAATTTAACCTACTTTTCACAAGAGGAAAAAAAATAAATGTTAAAAAATACATGCTCAGATATCAACTTTCTTTGCTGGTGGTATGGGAACGTGGAAAGCACTGCCAAATCACTTCAAAACAGTTCAAGTATCAATCAAATAAGAACCCCATGCAACTTCATCTTTTCCTAAAATGCGATTCACAAAGTTTTGATAACAAAGGTATCCTACTTGCATGGTTCTCCTTGAACTCACTGTGCTGGCCCTGAGGTTTGAGTGCTGTCATATCCATATCTTTTCTTCCCCACTCTCCAAAAGCTGTAGAGATTTCTGACAATACTCAGTCTTTGGAAAAGAATAGGGTAACCAAATCTTCATTATGTAGTATGAATCCAAATGTAATCTTCAATAAACAAAGAGCAAAACTAGAAGTGCATTTCATGCATCTTAAACTCCAGAAAAACTTTCTTTTAAGAGCTTGTTGGTTTAAATTTGCATCACTGTCACATACATGCTAGCAGGAAGCTGCTCTTCAAACATTGTTTTTCAGTATTATACAATAGAACTGCTAATTTCTGATTATGAAGTGCTGTAGCTGGGCATTTAGGGCCTTACAATACTGATATTCTGAGGTTCAGGTACTTGCCAGACCTGAAAATGGCAGACACAACATCTTATTTGTATTTATTTGTATTATTTATTTGTACCTAAACCTGCAGATTTGATTTCTTGTTTGAGATGTATTTTATTGCTAGAGTTTAGCATATATGTCCTTGATTAATTATTTTAGTGATCTACAAATGCCAATTACATTTACAAACTGTGAAGCACTCATCTGTTCTCCTATTTTTTTCCTACTCAAGCATGTATAGATCTTTGTAGACATAATTCTGTGGGATTCAAACACAGAAAAGGAACCGACTACTCTTTGCAGCTGATAGTGCACAAGTGGTCAGTTTTGTTTCCACATCTCTCTATTCCTGACCTTGGAGGGATTTTATGTCACACTAGTGCTGCAGAGCCTTCTGCCCCCTCAGTCAACCAATCTCAAGTCCTGCTGGTGGGTTCCTGAGAATGTAGAGATGTCCTCCCAATGCAAATGTCTACTCTCTAGTTTTAGAATGGTGCTTAGGTTTCCTAAACCAAGGCAAATTTCAAAGAGATCAAAAAGTTTTTAAATAGAGAGTATTATTTCTAATACTTTAACCTGAAATTCACAGAATATCTTCTTTCTTCTTGACCCAAAGCTAACAATTATTGACTCAAAGCAACTAGATACATATTTAGGAGATCTCAGTAATGTACTGGACATTCTAACACTGTTTTTTCTACCAAGTGAAAGGACACAGATTTGGGTACTATGTACAAAAGAGCTCTTGGGGTCCCTTGTCAGATTTCTAGACTATTCTCCACAAGACAATGACAGAATGTCAGCATTTGTTCTACTAAAAGCTCTGCAGAATCATAATGCACAACTTTATATTGCCTGCATCACAGAAGAAATGAAGTACAAAGATAAAAACCCAAACAGATGTCCTCCTGCCTCACACAACACCTACCCACTACCACCACCCTTAGTTCTTACAAGTCGAGCATATTCCCATTGAACTTTTTATAAAGGTGAAGAAAAAAGCCTGATTTCAAGCCAAGTAGCTAGATCACCTCATCTGTTCTTGGGCTGACAAAGGAATGATAAAAGAGTACATATTTGTAGTGTAGTTTGGTCTGTAAATATTGATGAATTGGATTCACCAGAACAGCGCATACTACCAACAAATTTATTTAACTTCAGTTTTTAGCATTGCACACTCCAAATGTAGATTTTTGTTGTCTCTCTTACAGACTAGCACTTAAATTTAGTTGAAATTGAAGACCAAGTTTTGAATAGTCTTTCTGGATTTGACCTTTGATACCTTCAATCATAGAATCATTGAATGGCTTGAGTTGGAAGGCACCTTAAAGAACATCTATGGATGTTAAATATGAGCAGAAGCAGGGAGCACAGTGCCTGTGGAAAAGCAGGCCACATAATTTTCTCAGTCTTGCCTGAGAAAGTGGCCCAAGAAATCATAAGGAGGAATTAAAACAATCCTCAGACATAGAAGACAGCCTTGCAGGTGCTGTTTGTCTGTTCCTTGTTTTCTTGCAAGAGAAGGTTGAGGGGTGGTGAACCCCACTGACCAATGACGGTGATGTGTTAGTTTACTAACCAGTAAGAGTTTTACTTTTCTGTACTTTTGCGTATCAGTCTATAAAAGATCTGAGGTAATAAGCCTTAAGCTCTCCTGTTCAACTCACAAAAGAGTCTGTGTCAGTCTTCTCACTGTTCCCAACAGAGCAACAAACATCTAGCTCCAGCCCCCTACCATGGGCAGGGACCCCTCCCACTAGACCAGGTTGCTCAGAGATCCACCCAGCCTGACTTCGCACATTTCCAGGGATGGAGTATCCACAGCTTCCCTGGACAACCTGTTCCAGTTCCTCACCACCCATACAGGGAAGAATTTCTTTCTTGTGTTTAATCTAAACTTACCCTTTTTCCGTTTAAAGCCATTCCCCCTTGTCCTGCCACTACAGGCTCTTATAAAAAGTCCCTTTCCATCTTTCTTGTAGGCTCCCTTCAGGTACTGGAAGGCCACAATTAGGTCATCCCAACACCTTCTATTCTCCAGACCGAACAATCCCAACTTCTCAGCCTTTCCTCATAGGAGAGGTGCTCCATCCTTTGGCTCATTTTTGTGGACCTGCTTCAACAGGTCCATGTCCTTGCTGTGCTGAGAACCCCAGAGCTGGACAGCACTGCAGGAGGGGTCTCACCAATGGGGAGTAGAGAGGCAGAATCCCCTTCCTTGGCCTCCTGCCCAGGCTCCTTTTGATGTAGCCCAGGACACGTTTGGCTTTCTGAGCTGCCAGTGCACATTGCTGGGTCATGTCCAGCTTTTCATCCACCAGCACCCCCATGTCTCACTGCAGAGCTGTTCTCAATCTGTTCATCCCCTAGCCTGGACTGATACCAGAGTTCACCCCATTTGCTCCACAGTAAGAAAGCCACAATGGATCAGGTGTGTAGATGCAATAAAATTTTAGTGGATGTTTCACTTTGTACATGGAAGTTGTCAGAACAACAGTGCAGTTAAACTATACACTCACAGCATCTGAGTGATCAAATAATAGAGGCATATAAAGCTCTCAAAGCTAAACACAGATTTCTACTAGTGGACTATCAGCTGAACTAAGCAGAAGCTTTCATGTTCTAAAAATAAAGTTAATTTGATTAAAACATCATGGAAACAAAGATGCAAATGACTAAACTAATTTCCTATTCCTGTCTTAGATGACTGGTACCTAATCCTTAAGTAACTCCACGTATTCAAGTGCAGGAGGAATAGGTCAAAGAACTAACCCTCCCAAAGAAAAAAAACCAAACCTAGAAAACAATAAATAATTGATTCTGGTTTAATTAAATATCGTTATACTTGATAAAACATTATCCTTCATCAGCTGCAAACCCCAATACAACTGCTAGGCCTTCTAGCAAGGAAGGCATACTTTCTTGATATATATTCTCATATAATATACAGATTGCGTTATGGAAATAACTTGTATGGAGCTAAAAGTCTGAGACAAACAGCTTCACTAGTCCTTTTTTTCTTTTAATAAATAAGAAGAGATGTCTAAATTTACTTTCAACCTTTTCTCTCAGCTTATTTTCTACTACTAGCCAACTAATTGGAGGGAAACAATTTAAGAGAAAACAAAGCCTTTCAAAAAACCAGAAAACAAGTATTTTACGCTTTAAAGAGCAAAAACTAATACTCATACTTTCCTGCCCAGTAGTAACAAAAAGCTACACTATATTTCATGCTAAAAACATTCCTTTCTTCAAGCTCTTTGAATATGTTTTTTCCCTTTAGTTCCAAAGAGAAATTGTTCCACTCATAACAATAACTCATAACATAAGTTACTCTTTAAGAGTTTCACTATTTTGGAATGCTTAAGTAGGATCTTGAAACTCCAGAGCTGATTCTAAGCCATTGAAAGGAAAAAGAGGGGAAAACGCTGCTAAAGACAGTCATGGTCTTTTTAGGAGAGCACTTCTAGGCACAGAAGCCTATTCGTACTTCCCTCATGAGGAAGAAATATTCCTCTACAAGATCTTCATTTGACTGGCAGCAGTAAGAACCTCAAAAGAAAACTGGTCCTACTTAAACTGACCTCTGGCAAAAAAATTAAAGCTCAACTTGTCTCCTGAGTCAGCTCAGAGCACAACATCCCATACTGCTTATTCAGCAACACCACAGGCTGATACTGTCACCCAAGCTCCCCTGTCCCCACACTTGTCCTCAATAGTCAGCAAGTCCCCAACATGAAATCACATTCACCAAAAAAAAGGGCATTAATCACTCAATTATGCTGAATTACGCAATCTTACCCACAGTACCCGTCCACAGAATCCATGGGGTTAGCTTTAGTACACCTATTCTTACTGACACGTCTGAAATGCAGAGTGGGGAAAAAATTCAACTTGGTAACTTGTCACACATTTATTACTTGATCTTCACTGATTTCACTTGACAGAGAAGCCTGACAGCCCTCCTTCTAGACTTGAATGGGAGAAAGGCAAGTCAGCAGTTTCTTTGTAGTCATGCAGACTGCAGAGTTAATTTTCTTAGATTTTTGATAGTTTTGACCAGAAAGAAATTAACTCCCAGTTAGTGCACTGAGAGAAAAACCTGGCTCAGCCCACCCAAGGTAACATTTGGAACATTCTGTTATCTAGAAAGCACATAAAAAAAAACTTGCCTTCTATAAAGATCCTGTTCCAGTAAATTTTTCCAACTTGATTTCCTCCAAGAAATATTAGATTTGATAAAATCAACATTGAAGTGCTAACAGATGCTAGGACAGCATGAAGTCGACGACGAAATCTTGGCGAGAAGAAACGTTCCTGAGGGGCAAAACAAAAGGTGAAGATGAAGTTAAGAATCCCTGCAAATTTTCAAGCAGCATTAGGAAAAGACATTGCCATTACAACAAACAACTTTCATACAGAAGTTTCATACCAATCCTTACAGAACAGACCCCAAAGATTTTAAAATATCTATCAGAACCTCTCACCAATGCCATTCAAGTTGGAGTAAGGCTTCCTGATTAAAAGCAGTCTTGAATCATAGTTATGGCTGGAAGTGACCTCTGGAGCTTACTTAGAATGACCAAAGCAGGGTCAGCTAGAGAAGGCTGCTCAGGGCTGTGTCTGTGTTTTTAATATCCCTGGTGATGAAGACGGCCCAACCTCACTGCCCCCTGCCTTTTGTCCTATCACTGAATACCACTTAGAAAAGCCTGCAGTTGGGTATTTATACACCTGGATAAGATTTCCCTGAGCCTTCTCTCCTCCAGGCCGAACAGTCCCAGCTCTCTCAGCTTCTCCTCTTACAGCAGAGGTTTCAGACCCTTTACTTATCAGTCCCTTGGCTGGACTCACTCCAGCATGTCCATGTCTCTGTTGTGGGGAGCCCAGAACAGGACACAGTTCTTTATGTTCTGTGGATTAATTCTTATTTTACAAAATATGCTCCTTGATGAATTTTTGCTGACAGATCGGAACAGTAGATGTGAACAGTGCTTCTAGGGTGGGTGATACTTCCAGTAGGATCCAATATAGAATAAAGCACTTCAGTACACAGCAAACAGCATCAAACAACTTCAGAAGTCATTAATCGTCTGGTTGATTAATAAGACATCACTGAAAGATTCCAGAATCAAATTAGATCTTGCTATAGCAATGACTCTTAACACATGGATACCTCTAAAAAAAGGTTCACACATACATGCAATTTCAAATTTTCTTTTCAGTGCAAGTGTTACTGCTCATGTTCAAGAAGAATAATTATCCAGATTTTGGTACTTTTGTCCTAATGATACAAATAAAGTAAGTGTCTCTCCACCATATACTACTTTACATTTTTCCAAATCTGTATTTTGCATTATCATCTGAGGTGTGAGTGCAGCATGGGGAATGCAAGAAGATGGTAAAAGAAGGATGAGGAAATTTTAGCTTCCTCCATTATTCAGTTGCTAGAGGAAAATTTAAATAACATTAGAGCACTTCACCAAGACATATTGTCTCGTTACTACACAAGGAAAAATATCCTGTACATTGTGACCCCAGGCTGAAAGCCTCTGTACATAGTGCTTGAAATTACAAAAGATTGAATGCTTTGTGTGAAGTGATGAGCATTTTCCAGGGCATGGAAAATAAGGGAAGCATCAGGGGTTGCTCAGCCTTCATGTCATAAATGGTGACATTGCAAAAAACAAAGTCTTGTGACTGCAGCATCAAAAAAAATTTTAAAAAGGAGCAGTAATTAATCTTTAATACCTACAGGCAGACCAGAATTCATGCTCAAATACCTGAAACAACATAAACACATGCTCAAAACACACCTAAAAATACATTTCCAGACAATTAAATTGCTTCTTCTGTAAGCATCAAAACAAATGTTTCAACTGCTAGATTATAAAGAGACAAATCTTCAAATAAATGACAGTTACAGGCGTAGAAATACAATTTCAACATATTACTGCAAAGTAATCTCTGGGAAATTGAGCATTAGCCTTGGTCAGAACTATATCTAGTACATGAGTCAGTCTGAGTCAGCACAAAAATGAGGACAAATAAGGTTTAAGGACAAGTGCTGTCTATCAGTCAGCATGTACAATAGGGCAGCAGCCAATCCTCCACACAATGTTATGAAAAATAGTCATGTGTGAAAACAGAGACTGAGATTTTTCTCAGAAAATTCTGGCTGAAAACTAGGGCATGATAGGAGAGAGGTAGAGAATATAACAATTATGTAAATATTCACAGACACAGACAGTTGAGTTAGTGAAAGAACTTCTCCTGTTTCCAGTACTTCACATCTCCAAAGCTATCCAAGAACTTTGGATACATTCTCCTTCTGTTCACACACACATAGAGGACAGGTAAGTTTGTCTCTTCCTGAAAGGCATAGTTTGAATGTATGGTCCCACACATGAAAAATGTATGCCTTTTCAGAATGTGTAAGTGTAGGCACACAGAGAAAACATTTGAAATCTTGCTATGAAATCCATGTTAACAGCAAAGTTTAAATAAGGACAGGTTATGATCAGGCTAGCTTGAATTAACCTGCAGCTCAAACAGGGCATTCTCTACCATCAGAGCAATCTTTCACTCTCCCTTTGCCCAGCAAACTTATTAGTCAACTCTAAGGAAAAACAGTTTTAATTAAGAAAGAGAAAAAAAAATCCTCTGCTAAAGCAGTAGAAAGAGCTGGAGATGGACAACCCATCAGACAGCTGATACTTTACTGCATTTTCCATCAAGTTACTGATCAGGCTTGGTAAGTTTCTAACGTTTGCCTGTTTTATAATCCAAAGCAGTACAACTAAAACAACATAAATAGTTAAAAAAAGCTCTGCTACCTTTATTTTCTTTTAATGAATACAGTTATTAAAAAATTAATTAAACTGTCACATATAGCACATCACCTTTTACAGAAGTGCAGCACATTAAACAAGGCAAATTAAATGTAGTACAGACCAAAAAGCCCTTAGCCATTTATAAGGTATAAAGGAGCAGTTTATGACAGACACAGTTTAGACAATCACTGAATCTTCACTGGGTTTTGCTGTAGCTAATTTCCATTAGCTTTGCTAGGCATTGATCCAAAAAGCAGTACACATTTTCCTGACAGTCTTTGATGTCAATGCAGATTTTACTTAGCTGCTATGAAAGTAAAAAAGAAAACTTTCTTTAAACATCTCAAGCCATCTAGAATGAGCTAACTGGGAAAGAACCCGAGCAGTTAGTGTGCTCAAATGAATATATTGGAAGCATTATTCAGCAAGGAAAAAGAAATGAGGTTGGTCTAGACAACCCATAACAACAATTTTATTTAAACATCTACGAACTTGTAAATTTTGCAGTGTACAGGAAACTGTTATATCAAAGCAAAATTTAAAAAACCCTCCACACCCACAACTCTTCATTATGCCATTTGATGCTTTTAACAATATGCTCCATTACAGCAATATAAACAACTGCTATGGATTTGTAGTGTTTCTCTGGAGTTTACTGCTGTCTCTTTCTGTCTCCTCTTCCTTGTTGGAAATACATCCAGAAGATAGAGTGGCAATTTTGTGTTAAAATGACAATGAAACCATGGCTGCCTGGCTGAAACCCTGATTTGCATCCCCCCTCAGCACTCCATCTTACAATCTCATATCAGTACTTTACCATACTTTACTTTTATTAATCACCAGCATCCCCACCTCCCCCATACACTATGAAATAAATCGACTGTAGCACTTAAACTACACAAAAAAATAGACGTACTGTCATGGTACTCAGCCCAAATGCATGGAGCATGACATAGGTGACTTGTAAAACATTGGCTCAGGCAACCTTTCCTGGAACTGAATGGAGTTCAAGTTATTATTCCAAACCCATTCCTACTGTACATGAAGATCAGCCTCAGATATTCTCACAGATGTTGGGAAAACTTCCCTCTGCACATTGTTTGGTCTAGCAAAACTGGTCTAGCTGCCATCAAAGCTCTCCCAACTTTGCAGGTTTTGAAGCCGTATTACTGGTTAAAAATTAATGGTACTATTAATGGTACTAATTAATTAAAAATTAATGGCACTATCACGTATTGGGGTACCTTGACAAGCAAATCTTATGTGTTTGAGAGTGGAGGAGGAAGACAGGCATGAAAAGACATTGCATGGTCCAAACATTTCCATTCCATTTCCATTTACACATGCATGTCACATTTAGCTTCTAAGACAAAGCCAGAAATAGGAAGCTTTTATAATGTTTGTCTCTTGAGAAAGCTGATGAAGGACAACACACACCAGAAGAGATCAGTTAGGTGAGAATTAAGAGTTAAGATAAAGTACACAGTAGTATTTTGAGTTAGAGAGAAAATACTTATTTAATTTGCTATTCAACTTAATTACACCACTATGAGCACAAAATACAGAAATATGGCAGGAGAAAGAGCTTCAGGCAGCAGAGCAGAATTTAAAGGAACTTCTCTCTAGTGTCAGTTAGAGCTACCAACAGTAAATTCACATTTTTACAGGACAGTTCATGATGATATCACTGAATGGCATGGAAATATTAAACTGAGGGTCCAGGTAAATGCATTTATAGCCAGCAATAGAGAAAATACTGTGAGGAAGACTGACCAGAGTAAGTAATCCAGCCTTCCAGATGGAAGCTGGTAGTGACAGGACAAGTCATATGTAGTGAAAGGACAAGAGATTGTGGCCTCAAACGGCAAGAGTGTAGCTTTAGATTAGGTACCAGGAAAACATTCTTCATTGTAAGGGTGGTGGGGCACTGGTTGCCCAGAGAAGCTGTAGAAGCCCCATCCCTGGAAGTATTCAGGGCCAGGTTGGATGGATCTCTGAGCAACCTGATCTAGTAGAAAGTGTCTCTATCCTTGGCAGGGGGTTGGAACTAGATGATCTTTAAAGTGCCTTCCAATTGAAACTATTCTACAATCCTATGAAGTTGAGGAGACAGCAAGACTGCATTCTGTACAGCAGTCAAAACTAGGAAGTCCTATACACATTATCACACTGAAGTTTTTTACAGAAACAGATCACTCAGCATTTTATCAGGGAAGCAATCCTACATTTTCCTACATAAAACACTCAACCTTTTCTAACAAAAACGGCGGCATCATGGTGATTTGGCATATCCCAAAGACTCGTTATTGAGAGGACCATCAAATCCAGCTGCAGTGACTTGTTCTGGGAGCAGGTCACAAGCATCACACTGGATTGGGGAGGGCTCAGGAACAGGGGCACATGTTTTCTACCATGCTGCAAACCCAGCTTGATGACAGAGTGACAAGTGGCAGGAATTCTCCCCTGACAGACATTAGCTGGTAA